TCCGACTGACCAGCAGTCAGACATCCCCCAAGGGGTCCCAGATTGCAGAGGGTGCAGGCCAGTCTGAGGGACACCCCACCTCCCCCCGCACAAATTTCGTGTACTAGGCCACTAGTCTATATATATATAAAAGCCTAAGTGACCGTTACGACTGAATGACTGGAACGACAGGTAGACCAGTCACTATGATGCACACTGACCACCAGGGATCAGACACTCAATGCAGGAGCTGCCCCCCGTGGTCAGTGTGCTCCCATAGGGGGAGCACTGCTCAGCCAGAAGCCAGGCTCATGGCTGGCCAGCACAGCTGCAGCGGTGGGAGCCTCTCCTGACTCCATAGCCTCTCCCAACTCCGCAGCAGAGCAGCAGGCACAGCAGGTCAGATGAACGCAAGCAGCATAGTGCTGGCTCAGGCTCCTCCCTGGCCGCCTGCCGCTTGGCGCACTGCTACACCCCTTGGGGAATGTCTGACTGCCGGTTTAGGCCCGGCCTGTGGGGATTGAGCCTAAACTGGCACTTGGATATCCCCGAGGATCCTAGATTAGAGAGAGTTTCTAGTAATTGTAGTGAAAATCCTACACCCATTTAGTCTTCTTTAGCCTGTGTGTAGTTTCTAGGAAACTTGAATAAGTTAGAGGAAGTGGTCTGAAAAACCAGTTATTCTATGATAAAGGCTAGGCTGAGGGAACCCCCCCCCCCATACATGAATCTGTGCACTGGGCCTCTAGTGACTTTTTAAAAGACAAATGGAACCTAGGTAGCCTTTATCATAGTATAACTGGTTTTTCAGACCACTTTCTCTAACTTATTCAAGTTTCCTAGAAACTACACACAGGCTAAAGAAGACTAAATGGGTGTAGGATTTTCACTACAATTACTAGAAACTCTCTCTAATTTCTATGTTTATTGAAAATATATAGTACTTCTTTCTTTCCTTACTTTCCAACAGTATTAACTGCAGCTTTTTTATTGATTCAAGCTTAGTAACATTTATTCCCAATATCATTCCAGTTTTCATTCACTAGTTGCCACAATGTGTGTGTGTGTGTGTGTGTAAGAGAGAGAGTTTTAAAGTGCAATTCATTATACTCCACACACTAAGATCACATTTGCCTTCACAGAAAAAGTGGGATCTTGCTTCCTATTACAGTAAGCTCCAAGTTCTCTGGCTGACCTATAAGAGGCTGTAAGTCATAAAAAATTTTTAAAATATAGATGGTTTTATCTGTGTATTTATAGAGTAGATTCTCAATAGCCTTTCTTCTTTGAGGCACTAATAGAGAATTCAAATGGTTTTCAATCCTGATTACATTGTTAAAAAATAATTGAGGTTGTAATAACAGTAATAACTATTATTTTTTGAGTACTTACTCTGCACCAGGCACTATGCTAAGCACTTTTCAAGCTTAATAACAACCTGTGAAATTGATAGTATTATCACTCTCATCTATAGGTGGCAAAACTGAGACTGGGAGAGGTTTAAGCAAGTTGCTGAGGTCACTCAGTCTATAAGGGGGAACTATGGTTCAAATCCTGATCTCTGACCCCACAGTCCACACATTATATAGTTATTAGTTAACAACCCTCCCCACTGGCAATATCTGAAAATAGCTACTCCTATGATGACCACTATAAAAAATAAACAGAAAATAATGTGGGTTGGCAAAGACATGAAAAAATTGGAACCTCTGTACACTGTTGGGGGAGAATGTAAAATGGTGTAGCAGCTATGGAAAATAGCATAGTGATTCCTCAAATACTAAAAATGGAACTCTCATATGACCCAGCAGTTTCATTTCTGTATATATACCCAGAAAAATTGAAATCAAGGTCTCAAACACATATATTAATACACCCATGTTTATAGCAGCATTATTCACAATAACACAAAGGTGGAAACAACCCAAGTGTCCATCAACGGATGAATGAGTAAACTAAATGTGGTGTATATATTAAAATACAAATGGAACCTAATTAGCATTTACCATAGTATAATTCCCTCCTATGAGGTAGCACATCATGTCCCCTGCTACACCACAGATGAACCCTGAAGACATTATGCTAAATGAAATAAACCAGTTACACAAAGACAAATATTGCATGATTCCACAAACATAAGGCACCTGCAGTAGCTAAATACATAAAAAGAGAACGTTCAATAGCAGTTACAGGGTGAGGAGAGAGAAAAAGAAAGCTATTGTTTAATGGGTATAGAATTTCAATTTTGCAAGATAAAGAGTTCTGGAGATGGATGGTATGCAATATGAATATACTAACACCACTGAACTGTATACTTAAATATAATCAAGTTGGTAGATTTGATGGTATGTACATTTTAACACAATTTTTTTTTAAAAAGCTACTTTGGTTATTGTGACTCCCTGGCACAGACCTTGAAAAGTTTGGAAATTCCCCAGTCATTGAGGTATGTCTCTCTGCTTGGCCCCAAAAGACAATAACTCAGTCTAAAATGTCCCTTTTGGGTGTCTTTGGGCTTTCAGCCCGTCTTGTGAGTTAAAGGCATAAGGGGTACATGGGCAAAGCAGACATGGCTCTGCCCTCAGAAGGGCATGATCAGTGCGGGAGATGGGCACGTAGGCATTGAATGTCTTCTCAAGAGTGTCCCTTACCTGGGAAAACGTGATCTCTCCCCTCATGAGACGGAAACTGGAACTATCCAGGTCTCCTTTCTTGAAAACTTCATTGAGAAAGCCTCTGAAAGACACATATCATAAATGTCCAAGGACTTCATCACAGTGGCAAACGGGGACAGACACTATTTAGATCTGTGGTAGGCAGTTAGACAGACGTAAGCAGAGCAAGGATGATGCTGGAGCTGAAATACACCTGATGCCTACATGTATTTACTGAGGGTCAGGACCTCAATGTCCTGGGGGCTTAATGCTTAAGGGCTATTCTCTGGCCCCCCTGTTCATTCCCTCTGGGGCGGGGGGGGTCTAACCCACATGACTAGCAACATGCCAGGGGAGGAAAGGTCAAAGGAGGTTCCGAACACATGACTAGCAATATGAAAGGTCAGGGGGTCTTAACCTCATGACCAGCCACATGCTAGGGGAGGAAAGGCTACCTGAGGGCAAAGTCCTGATTTTCCCAGTTTTTCCCATTGTTGGGCACCTGAGGCTTTCCACCCTGGTGACCTTCTGTACATGGTTGTTGTCTTTGCTCTGCTCATGTCTGTCTAAGTGCCCACCACAATGGAGATGTAATGAACAGTGTGGTTAGGAGTTGCTAAAAGAGACAAACCTTAAAACTCCTCATCAAAAGAAAATAGTTATAAATAAAATACTGATTTTAGTTTTCAATAAAATTGGAAATTTAGCAATCATGTTTTGTTGTAGTAAAACATACATGACATAAAACTGACCATTTTAACCACTTTTAAATATATATATATTTTTATTGATTTCAGAGAGGAAGAGAAAGGGAAATATCAATGAGGAGAGAGAATCATTGATCAGCTGCCTCCTGCATGACCCCAGTGGGGTCCAGCCCGCAACCCGACCATGTGATGTGACTGGGAATTGAACTTGACATCCTAGTTCATAGGTCGATGCTCAACCACTGAGCCACACTGTCTGGGCACATTTTAACCACTTTTAAGTGTACAGCTCAGTGGCATTAAGTAATACATCTGCATTGTTGTGCAACCATCACCACCATCCATCTCCAGAACTTTTTCATCTTCAAATCTTTGCCAGCCTGAAACTCTATACACATTAAACCATAACTCCCCATTCCCCCTCCAGTAATAATTTTAAATCAGATTACATTGCATATATTTCGAAACCTCCTCAGGCTCCCACAAATCATTAACTATATATGAAATGTAATCTCACACTGTTAACTACAATAATCCGTTAATGACTTTCACACAACTGAACAATTGAAACTTACCATTATATCTAAAACTCATTACCTGTCCCCCAAAGGGATTCTTTACATATTGAATCCATACATTCATAGCTGATAATGTATTGGGCAGCGCAGCTGAAAGCAGCAGATCTGTCCTATGATAAACTGAAGGCAAAGTAATTTACCCTCCTTGGGGAATGTTTTGGTATGAGTGGGGGAGGCTGGAAGGAAGGAAAGCTAAACAGGCCTGGGTGTGGCAGTGTGGGGCAGAAAACAAGTGTTGTTTCCACCCCAATTGGCCAACAACAGGTGAGTGTACTGCAACTCAATGCTGCCAAGAGTCAGCACAGACCTGTGGACAAAAAGGGGCCACATACTAAATCTGACAAGCTCAGGGGAGGCCTGGGTGGTGGCCTTGCAAACTCAGACACCTAAAATAGCCACATAGGATGGTCTGAAATTTAAAACTTTTTAACCAAAAACAGTGCATGGTCTATATGACAAACCTACAGCCAACATTATACTCAATGGGAGAACACTAAA